ACGTATTCAGGAGTTATTATTTGTACTAACATATCTCCAAAATACTTTGTGTATCAGACAATATCCAGGGACATGATACATATTCTCAACTCTTTATTTCGAATTGGGAGGATGGGGTGGAAGTCCTAATTTATCTGTTCTTAATCTGACCGTATCATTATCTGTTTTGCCATGTGAGTTTGATGTATTATACAAACTGCTGTTGGGCATAAAAAGCGGGTTGCAAAAACAAATGTTCAGAGCCGCCGCTGAAGCACGAATGGGACTATTGACAAATCTTGAAAACTGTTCATGTGATGTACACAGAGGTTCAAGCACGGCACCATGGGACTTCAAACCCTTACCCTTGAGCTCCATGGTCGACGGTCATCAACTTGTGCGAATGGTTCAACCAATCTAGAGTATCAAGCTTGGATTAACCCATCCGATTATTTAGAGGCACCAGGTACTTTTGGTGTTTAATAGTGCCCGATGCCTTTAAACAATCGAATGGGCTAATTCACGCTTGATACTCTATGCTGTAAAAATACCTTGAATTAGATTTTCCCAACTTTAAGCTTCTTTGATATTCTTTATTTTCAGGTCTTGCTTCTGGAATGGCTGGCAATCTTTTGGCTAATCGTCTGTTCGGCGGGGGATGGGGTGGAGGCTGGGGTGGTGGTTGGTGCAGTGGTTTCGGTGGTGGATGGGGGGTTGGTGGTGGTAGTTATTGTCACGCACCAACCATCATCGAAGAAACGAATATTTACAACACTGAAATTAATGACTATGATCATGGAAACGACTTCAGTTATGTGGATGATTACCAAACAGACTATTTCGACGATGGTGGATTTGACGACTCCTGAGTTTTCAACACAATCTCAAGGAACATTATCGTCATTTATTATTATAATTAGTTTTCGTGATTTGGTTGGTTGGATTAATTTGAAAATTACAAACATGAATTCATTTTTGTCAACTCTTTCACCGGGTTTTTCGGATGCTATTTGTATTAGGGCCGCTTCGAATGCTTGAATACGTAACATAGACATGCGTAGCTTCTGGTTGTTTTATTCGCCGGAATTTGTGCACAGATTCGTATAGTATGATATGTCACGGATAAGTGGAAAACTTATTATATGGTATGATACGAAAAAGCACTACAATATAATCGATTTCCTGATGCAGTCGGATGTTGACCGTTTATACTCATTCTCCTCCCCCCTCCCCGAAAAAAGAATAACATTCTGCAATCATAAGTTGTCTACTCATAAGTAGTATCCTTTCTGAAAATCCTGATGAAACGAACATGCCTAAAATCAACTTTTATAAAGAACCCGAAAAATCATGAATATTTTTTATGACTTCTAAGCCAAAGGAGGACATAACCAGTCAAAGCACGCCGTAAACAGTGGAGCACCGTCAGAGTCTAGTAAGGTACCGCCCAATTAAACATCAATCTCACTATAAAATAAATTAACTAGGCCTCTTGGAAATCAGTAGCCATTTGGGGGAAAGGAGCCCATTCCTCCAAAATGTTTGCTGTAACCGTAGTATCCAGGCGACCGTTTTAAATCAAATTTCGAATTTCAAAAATCAGGAGGTGAGGAGGCCTTACCGTTCTTCTCAGCAAGAGCAGCGCCTTGGAAGCCTTTTCTGAGGCTAGTTGGTGCTGTCTTGTCGGCTGGAACGAACAATGCATAACAATACCTAGGTCCCTGACCTCGTTGGTGATTTCCACTGGTGTGGGTCCCGTGCCATTGATCAATCTAGCCTCTTCGGTGGATCCCCCTAAGGGAAGCTGTTTACACTTGCTAGCATTTAGTGGCAACAGCCACTCCTCCGTTTACTTCTGGACTTCGTCTAGGTCATCTTGAATGGCGTTGGTGGAGGGGTCACCGGTAATTTTTACGTCATCGGCAAACAGGAAGGACGGTTGTACTATCCTCTTGGTCAGTCCATCTATGTAAATTAGGAACAGTAGAGGTCCCAGCACGGACCCTTGGGGCACACCACTACAGAACATTTCACCCTCTACCCTGACATAGAAGGATCGGCCAAGTAGGTACCCCGTAATCCATCTGACAACCTGTTCAGACAGACGGAACGTCTTTAGTTTTTCTATCAACGGTCGGTGTTTGACTGATTCGAGTGCCTTTTGGAAGTCTAAGTAAAAGACTTCCACACGCTCCCCCCGACCAAGACTTTGGGTGATCTCTTCCATGAAGTCCAGCAAGTTTCATAGGCAGGCTTCTTCTGCACAAAACCGTGCTGGTTATGAGATATCAAACCCTGGCTTAGAATGTGCTCTGCTATGCGATCCCTGAGGATTCTTTTCATAACCTTCAGTGGAATGGGCAGCAGACAAACCGGCCTATAATTCCCTACCGAGTCCCTGGGACCTCCCTTGGGGATAAGCATCACCTCTGCTATTTTCCAATCTGGTAGAAGTTGGCCGTGACAAAGGGATGAGTTAAACAGGCGGGCCAGTGGATTGGCATGGACTGTTGCCAGGGTTTTCGGTATGGCTGGGTGGATACCATTCGATCCTGCCGATTTGTTTGTATTTGGGCGCCTCAGGTGGTCCTGAATCTCCTGTGGGAAAATTTCGCAGTCTGGCATATGTGGGATGGGCCTCCGAGTTTGTTGACCCCCGAGTGCACCCATATCCCTAACGTGAACTGCTTGAAAGCCGCGTCTGAAGAGTTCTACTTTCTCAGAGTTGTCTAGGACCGGGTGGTGGCTGTCATCCTTGAGAGCACTTATAGCCGTACGCAGCTTGGAGTTAGCTTGTACGTAATTGAAGAATGCCTCGGGGCATTCTTTAATCCTCCACGCCAATCCCGTTTCAATGGCCCTACAGCAAGCCGTCTGGGCACTAATCGCTCAGTCTCTCTCCCCGAGGTACTGGAGATACCTTTGGTGGCTACCGGACCTGAGGTACTGGCACCAAGCTTGACGCCCTCGGGCTTGTGCCTTTGCTACCCTGCTGGACCACCAGGGGAGTTTGCGGTTTCTGCGGAGCCTCTTAAGCGGAGCAAACTCCGAAGTGAGCAGTAATAGGTTAGACTTAATGGGGGTTGAG